TGATTGTTCTCCGTAGTAAGGGGGTTGGTACTGAAACCCGAATCCATAGTCTTCTCCTCCTTGATTGCTCCAGGAAGTCTCGGGGTAATACCACTCAGATGGTGGTGGATACCCCCACTGGTTGGCGAAGCCATTAGGATCCATGATTCAGATCTGCACCAACAAAAACAAAAACACCCAAGGGAAAAGCAAGGGTGGAAAACACGCTAAAGTAACAAACTTCTGCCTTTCCTAATAATCTAGAAAGTCCCCGGCAACGGCGCCAAAAACTTGACGCGCTAAAACACAACACCTAACAATGGCTAAGGATAACCAATGAAAGGGACTGCAGTATAATGGCACAAGTAATAAATATCGAATCCACGGGTCTCTAGAGTTACTATTACTCAACTTCAGTTCATTATCTAGCAAACTAGATTAAGGATTGATTTACTAAACTACTCTACTTATTACAAGTTGGGAACTCACTTAGGTATAATTTCCCCTAGCTCCTCAATTAGGTCCAAGTTGAAATTACCTTTGGTTGATCTACTGTTGATTAAACTGCAAAAGATCCTAAATTAGCTTGGAATCTCTTAAGTTGACCAAGCCCTCTTAGACAGAATACCCGGCAGGCGACTAGCCTTCACCAAGATAGACTGCTAAGGCCATTCACACAGATCTCCACTACTGGAATGAATTCCAGTACAAAGCAGTGAATTGATTGACTCTCGCACAACCAATTCACCACTATCAATCAAGGAAGCTCTCTTAACCTAATCAGATTCTATCTATCATAGGTTAAAGCAGAAATCACGAGAATTTGATCAGGATTCAATTGACTTAATAAATCATGCCTCAATCGATTATAATCAAACAATATAGCATCCAAAACTTCATACAAGAAAGATCCTAACACATGGAACTAGGGTTCCTCAAAACCTAAGTGAAGGGAAGTTACTCCACAGAGAAGAGAGAGACTGCAGAAATCTTATCTAAATCTTCAATCTCCATCTCCAAGCTTGTTTCCCGAGCTCCAATGGTGAAAAAATCCTCCAAAATAGCTCCAAGAATGTTCCCAAGTCGCTCTCTCTCTCTAGAATTCGTCCCTTGGGTGTTTGGGAACCAAAACCCAGCTCTCTCTCTTTCCTTTGGCTTGAATCTGCCTCAAAAACCCGATTATGGGCAAAACACGGTCGAGGACACGGCCGTGTTTTACTTTTGCCTGCCCGTGTTTTTCCCCCAGCAGCCCTCACGACACGCCCTCGGCAGTAAAAACACTAGCGGGGGCAGAGAAAACACGGCCGTGTTTTTAGGGTAGTATGCCCGTGTTTTTACTGCCGAACATGTTCCCCTATATTCAATGCTTCGTTTCTCCTTCGTCCGGACTTTGAATCAGTCGCCGTTTGATCTCAGACGCTCGTAGTCTCGTCCTCTTTCTTTTCATCACAAACTTGCATGATTCTTTGTCCATAAATGAGGTATAAATCCATTCTTCTTCAGGTCATGCCCGAGTTTCTTCTCCCGAATCGCCAATTGGTATCCGATTGACTTGAAACTTGCGCCTAGCCTTTCCTTCAACGCTTGGGACCTGAAATGTGACAAGAAACACAATCTAGCGTAAAATAGGCCAAAGAAGCGATAATGCAAGCTTAGACGATCAAGAAACAAAGGGGAAAACATGTGCAAATATCGAGTCATCACCTAGGTTAATGTAGGGCAACCCTCTATCTTGAATTAAGCAACTAGGTTAATCATGATTAGGCTGTCCAACCATCGGTTTGAAGGATAAGGTAAGTTAACCCTTAATTGCCTTAACCAAGAGGGCTACTCTTGTAGCCTATAATGTATCCCTTGGTTTGGTAATTGAGAGTGTGGTCATCGACCATAGTTGCACCTCCTAGTGGTTCATGATTTCCTTGCTCATAACGTCCCATTCGAATCCACGTGCTATGGTAGTAGTTAGGGGGAAGCGACACCTGAGTGGTCCTTCTCATCTAGAGCTTTCAAACCATTTACCTTTGTTTTGATTTAAATCTCATAGTTTTCAACCAAAAACCAATTCGCTAGATAATGCTTCAAACAATGGAAGTAGGGGTACACGGATCGACCCAAGTTGATATTTAAACATACATGCCCTATATTGCACCCATCTAAGGTTTATACTTGGGCCTTAGGTGGGAATTTATTGTGATATTCGCGACGAGTTAGTCTGGTTTTCTGAAGCAAGAGAAGAGTCACTCTGGAATGAGTCCCCCTAGCTCCTTAGTTAGGTCTAAGCTGTAATTTCCTTTGGTTGATTCACTGTTGATTAAACTGCGGAAGATCTGACAGTAGCTTGGAATCTCTTAAACTGACCAAGCCCTCTTAGATAGACTAACCGGCAGACGACTAGTCTTCACCGGGATAGAAAGCTAAGGCCATTAACACAGAACTCCACTACTAGAGCCAGATTCCAGTGCAAAGTAGTGAATTGACTGACTCTCGTACAATCAATTCACTCCTAATGATTGAAGAAGCTCTAACCCTAATTAGATTCTATCTATCTCTGGTTGCAACAAAAATCAAGAGAAGTTGATCAGGATTCAATTGACTCAATAAACACACTTCAATCGATTATAATCAAACAGTATATCATCCCAAAAGTTATTACGATCAAGATCCTTAACATATGGACCTAGGGTTCTTCATACCCAAGTGAGAGAAAGGTATACTCCATAGAGAGAGAGGAAAACAGAAATCAAAGCAGTCATACTCATATAGATAGGAATAATCTGCTATGGGATGTCAATCTTCACTCCTGGGGATGCAATATGGGCTTCAATGGTGAGAAATCCACTCCAAATAGCTCCTAGGGTTTGTTCTTCGCACTTTCTATCTCTAGAACTCTGTTTTTTATCCAAAAAGTTGAATCCCCTTCCTTTGGCTCGAATTTTCCTCTTTCAACCTGATTCTATGCGAAATACGGGCGTATTATTCTTCTGCCTGTATGTTGCCCAAAATGCGCGTTTTGGTTAAGTGGAGACGGAGAAAACCATGGTCGCGTCTAGAAAAATACTGGCAGCATTTTGAAAAATATTGGCAGTATTTTGCAAATTATGGTAATATTTTTTCTTTGTCTGCCCGTAATTTGCTTTCCTTCAACATTCTTCAAGGGCTAGCCTATACCATAAAAATACGAGCTAGACGCTGGAGAAATACGGTCGTGATTTTGGGAACCTTGACCATAATTCTCACCTGAGCCTTCATCATGGTCGGTATAAAAAATATCGGTGGTAATTTGTGAATTACAGCCGTATTTTTAGGGAGTCTACCCGTATTTCATTCTCAGCTCCACTTTTGAGAGGCTTTTGAGTGACCAAACGACGTTCGATTGAACCAAAACTTGCGTCTATGCCTTCCTTTATTCGCTAGGACTTGAAATATGACAAAATAACACAACTTAGAGTAAAATAGGCCAAGACACCACAAATTTCAGCCAAAACAGTTAAGAAACAAGGGTGCAAATATGGTGCTATCACATACCCATATGAGAAGAGAGTTTACTCCATGGAGAGTAGAGAAAATGCATAACTCGAAGTAGAAAACATCATGTGAATGATGGAATTCTTCTCCAAGTTATGAATCGACACTCCAAGGGTGGAGGATTGAGCTCCAATGACCTTAGACGACTCCAATCACTTCTCCAGGTTGTTCTTCATCACTTTCTCTCTCTAAGGATCTCTGTTCCTATTTAAGAACTTAAAAAATTGGACCCCTCTCACAAAACCTGAGTTTGGCATATATATCGGTTGTAGAGTTATTTGCACGGGCAGGCGCACGACCGCGCAAATAGGTGTTTTGCCCGTGCAAACTTAAAATGCGACATTTTCGTAAGTGCTGACGAAAGGGTCCAAACGACCTAGGGTTGGGGTTGTACAACCATGTAGTCACTCGTGCGTGCTGGAGGGACCTTCACTGGAAACTCTGCATGGACTAAATCGCCCTCGGATGGCCTGTACCCTCTGCCGCATTTTCCTACTGCACGGCCGTGCAGCAGGCCGTGCAAGCTGCTTCTTCTCGGTCTAACTCCCGAACTTCATCCAATCGTCCCCGAACTCACTCCTATGCGCGTATATACAATCTAAGACCTAAAACATCACAAACTCACACAACCTATCATATAAAATGACATATGAATGATAAAGAAAGCTTAAACGATCGTGAAATGGAGAGATAAACGTGTACAAATATAGTGTTATTATCAACTTCCTTGGGGTTGTGTCATTCTCCATCATGACAACATGCAATGTATCCATAGATGTGGTGGGTGGCTGTTGAGTTGTAGTCCCTTTCGACAGGTCATCTGGAGGTCTCTCGGAGGAGGAATTGACCCTGAGTGATGATTCGCAGGAACAACCATCTATCTCCTCTTTTCCACCACTCCCCCCAGCTAAACCACCAGAACATGAACCTACAATCCCCTCTTTTCAATTCTCATCACTTCACTTGCATGCTGATACTTTTCATGCTTTCATGGATACAAATCCATCTTCCACTCCCCAGCTTCTCACACCACCTCCTATAAAAGCAGTGGGAACTATGCATATTGTGGTTCTTAAGGAAGGCTATTTCATGGTTAAATTCTCAGTTGCCTTAGATTTCACATAATCCTTAACAGAAGGCCCTTGGACCATTTTTTAGCACTAGCTTGTGGTGAGGAGATGGACGCCTACCTTTCGAATAACAAAGAAGCTTCCTCCATTGCTTATTGTTTGAGTACGCTTTCCTATTATGTCAATCCAATACCACCACACCACCATCTTCACAGCGATTGGCAACATGATTGGAAAACTGATCAAGATCGATTTTCACACGCAATTAGGTCAATGAGTTATATTTTCCAAAATAGAAATCAAAATTGATGTTTCAAAGCCACTTATTCCATATTTCTATCTTGATGATGGCTTACACGTGGCAGAGTATGAAAATCTTCCCAATGTACATTTCACCTATGGGAGAATTGGCCATGGTATTGAGGAATGTCTCACGAGTGTGATTGGAAACCTTTTGAAGTCCGCCCAATCTTCTGTACCTCCATCTCCGGCGCCCCCAACAACAGCTCACTACCAGAAGCCAAGGCTCACGAATCAGAGTCCAATCCAACAGAGACAGGTTATGGTTCATCGATGATTTTCAAACAGAAACCTAAACAATCGGGGAAGAACATAGCTTCGGCGAACATCACAAGGTCGTCGTCGACCCAATTCCCTGCCACTCAAACCACCAACAAGACCAGCAGGATAGAATCCCACCCTACTGCAATTAATTACAATGGATACGATGAGCAGAGGAGAGAAGATTACCACCAATAACTCTCATGTACCTCTACAACCCGATAACAGCTCACAACACGATAGCCCTGCTCATCCAATTCAAGCATGTCTCATGCTCCATCTGAAGACACCTACCCACATCGCTCAATGGATAATAACACCACTTTAATTAGGAAAGGATCATATCATATGAGTAAATCAGATCCATCATGCATAACCTCAAAAGAGAAGGCCATCTTCTCTGCCCCACTCTAGCCGTATGTATTGAAGATGCTGAATGGAGGAACTATACCACATCGACTAATCAGCACTAAGGAGCCTCCTGGATGACGTCACATTCTCCCCGGAAGCAACTGAAGAGTTGGGACAGAACGGTGTCGTCTGTGTTAGTGTTGATAGTGTTCCATTTTTACTATTTAGATTACACCTGTCGTTGTTTGGTTTGTGGATGGTTTGTATTTCCATTTTTTACCGTTGTACAGTTGTAGTGAGGTAAATTTCCCTTCCCTTTGTTCAGAAGGTGTTGGGTGTTCATATATAAACAAGGCCATGAGCCTCAATGATTCCTGCGAGTTTCATTCCAAATACACACAGACTAAGTAATCTCATATGGTATCAGAGCCTGGTTCAGGCGTCTAGGGTTTCCTTTACCCACCATTACCCGCATTCTTATTCTACCTCAATCTACTTTCTTATTTTGCTTCCTTCTGCCACTCATGGCGACAGAGGCTGCTGATTCCACTGTTGCCACTTGTTCCACTAGCACTACAGTGATTTCTACTGTCACCAATCCTTTCTATGTCAACCCTAATGAGGCCTTGAGCTTTCCAATCAAGCTCACAGGCACTGCAAACTATAATCTATGGAGTGGCACTGTGAGAGTTGCGTTGAAGAGTAAAAACAAGTTGGGTTTTATCAACGGGACTATTCAAGCTCCAGATCCAACCCATGAGAGTTATCAAGCCTGGGAACAGAGCAACACAGCAGTCTACTTCCTTATTCTCGGGTCTCTTGACCCAACCCTGGTCAATAGTGTGTCATCTCAGGACAATGCTAAGCTTCTCTGGGATGATTTGAGGCAGTGTTATGGACAAGCTGATAACATCAGGATAAGCGATCTACAGACGGCTGTGTACACTCTGAAACAAGGTAACAAATCTGTGAATCAATTCTATGCTGAACTAAAGGGACATTGGGAAGAATTAGTCCAGTTTTTTACTATTCCAACTTGTGTATGCAATGGAGATCAGGGGAATAGAGTTGTGCCTTGTATTACTGAGACCACTGTACAGAAGTACAAGGAGAATAAATTTGTCACTAGATTCATAGCAGGTCTGAATGAAAATTATGGGGATGTTAAAACCAATCTACTCATGATGCATCCACTACCAACTATGGAAACTGCTTTCCATTATGCCATTCAACATGAAAGGCAAGTGGCTAGACCTAGTCAAGAGTCCCAGGTTGATACTATTGCTTTACTTGCTGCTAGTCAAGGAAAAGGGAAGGAGAATACCAGAGGAGGACAGGGACAGGGTCATCTCTTCTGCAGATATTGCAAGAAGGATAACCATGTCATAGCTGATTGCTACAGACTCAAAAGGAAAAACAAAGACTCTAGATATCCTTTACCATTTGCAAGACAAGTTCAAAGCATGGATAATGTTGGAGGGGGAATTCTGCCAAAACCAGAAACTAGGTTATCAGCTGAGACCAATGATGGGTTTACAAACCTGAGACTATCTAATGATGATGTTAGTAGACTGCAGAGGATCTTATCACAATTTGGATCTCCTAGTTTCCCCACTTCACCTGGATCACCTAGAACCAATCAGAATGGACAGTCCCAGCAGCCCATTTTGAATTCTGTGAGCATACACTTATCAGTGAACCCCAACTATGCAGGTAAATACACCCTGACTTCATATTTACAACAGCATCCATTGGAATTGCTTAGTGTGTGCTTCTTAGATACATGCGCATCATATCATGTGACATGTTCCCTGTCCAGTTTCATTAAACATAAACCTATCATGAATGTCTTTGTGACTTTACCAAATGGGTCAAAAACACCAGCAACTCACTCTGGTAGTGTTCGTTTATCTCCTCACCTTATCATTCATGATGTGTTGTTTGTCCCAACCTTTTCTTTTAACCTTGTTTTAGAGTCCATACATCACTGTGATGTTTTCCATATGTCAAAACAAAAATGTCTTTCTTTTCCTTTAAGTCAGTCCATTGCAAAGGAAGTTTTTGAGCTCATCCATGTAGATATTTGGGGCCCTTTGGCTGTTTCAAGTTACAATGGTTTCCATTACTTCCTTACTATTGTGGATGACAGATCAAGATGTGTATGGACATATCTGATGAAATTTAAGAGTGAAGCCAGAAAGCTTTTACAAGACTTTTGTGTTATGATTCATACACAATTTGATAATAAGATCAAAACAATTAGGTCGGATCAAGGAGCTGAGTTCCATATACCAGAGTTTTATTCTCTTCATGGTATAGTTCACCAAATGTCCTGTGTAGAGACACCCCAACATAATGCCAGACTAGAGAGGAAACATCAACATATATTGAATGTTGCTAGATCACTCAAATTTCAGTCTGGTCTTCCTTTGAAGTTTTGGTCAGATTTTGTCATTCGTGTTGTTTACCTCATAAACAGACTTCCTTCCATTGCCATTGATAACAAAACACCCTATAAAGTTCTTTATGGCACTCCACCAGACTTATCTTTGTTAAAGGTGTTTGGGTGTTTATGCTATGCCAGTACATCAGGACACAATCGAACCAAGTTCCTACCAAGAACCAAACAATGTGTCTTTATAGGTTTTCCTTATTTGGAATTAAGGGATATCAACTTTTTGATCTCCAAAACCGGAAAGTTATAGTCTCTCGAGATGTAGTCTTTCATGAGGACATTATACCTTGTTTATCTACCTCTCCCATATCCATTCAATCTGATGATCCCACTTTCACTTCTCCTCCAGTACACACATTTCCTTCTTTTCCATTTTCTACAGACCCCTTACCCTCTACACTTGCTATGCATCCTAACACTGCTCCAGTAGAACCACCTTCTCCATTACCTCCTCAATCTTCTCCAAACCCTTCACCTATTTCTTCTCCCAGCCCTTCTTCTTCTTAGCCCTATGCTTCTTCCATACCTGTTTCACCACATCCTGCATCTCTTCCAATTGCAGTTAGAAAACCAACCAGAAATATTTCAAAACCTGTCAAATACAATGATTATGTGCTAAATTTAGGAACCACACATACTAAATCAATTTATCCTTTGGTTGCTAGTTTTTCATATGATCAGTTATCTCCTAGTTACAAGAAATATGTAATGGCAGTGGATTCATCCATCATTCCTTCCTCCTTCGAAGAAGCAGTTAGAGAAGAACACTGGAGAAGAGCTATGAATGTTGAACTGGCAGCTCAAGATGCTAACAAAACATGGGATATTGTTCCCAGACCTCTTCATAAGAAGGTAATTGGTAACATATGGGTGTATGCTATTAAGTTTCTTGCTGATGTCACTCTTGAAAGACACAAAGCTAGACTGGTAGCTAAGGGGTTTACTCAGATATATGGAATTGACTTCCTAGACAGCTATTCTCCAATGGCCAAACTTAATTCAGTCAAGACACTACTTGCTGTAGCAACATTTAAAGGATGGACCATGTACCAACTTGATGTTAGTAATGCATTTCTCAATGGAGAACTGGAGGAGGAGGTGTATATGGAACTACCTCCTGGTGTGGTCAAAGAGGGTTATGTTTGCAAACTCAGAAAGTCACTTTATGGCCTAAAGCAGGCTTCTAGGCAATGGTTTGCCAAACTAACCTCTGTACTTCTCTCATTTGGATACACACAGTCTCACAGTGATCACTCCATGTTCCTTCATCATTCTTCTGCTGGCACATCTATTCTTCTGGTATATGTCGATGACATAGTAATTGCTGGTGATGACATTCCTAGCATGCAAGCTTTAAAACATCATCTCAGCAATCAATTCAAACTCAGGGATCTTGGCCATCTTCATTATTTTCTGGGCTTAGAAATGGCCAGATCCAGGGAGGGTATACATATATGTCAGAGGAAGTACTGCACAGACCTACTGACTTAGACAAGATTTGCTAATTGCAAACCCGTGGTGACTCCCATTGACATGAAGACCAGATTGTCTGCAGATGATGGTCCACTTCTAGATGATTCTGGACTTTATAGAAGGATAGTTGGGAGGCTCCATTATTTAACCATTACCAAACCTGAAATTACATTTGCAGTACAACAGTTGTGTCAGTATCAAGCAGCTCCAACTACTACACACTTACAATTGGCTTACAGAATTCTGAAGTATTTGAAGAATGCTCCTGGACAAGGTTTGTTTTATTCTGCTTCATCTGATCTAACCCTGAGAGGGTATAGTGATTCAGACTGGGCCTCCTGCCCTGATACAAGGAGGCCCACAACTGGATACTACATTACCCTTGGACCTTCATTGATCATATGGAAATCCAAGAAACAAGGGACAGTATCCAGGTCATCATCTGAAGCTGAGTATAGGGCTATTGCTCAGTTGAAATGTGAAGTTGTTTGGGTTAAAAGGTTATTGCATGAACTTGGCATTAAACATCAAAAGCCTGTAAACCTTTTCTGTGACAGTCGATCTGCAATATATATAGCTGAAAATCCAGTGTTCCATGAGAGAACAAAACATGTTGAGAACGACTGTCATGTGGTTAGACAGTTCCTCCAGTCGAAGCTCATTGGATTGAGTCACTTGGATACAAAAACATCAGATAACAGATCTATTTACCAAGGGGCTCAACAGGTTCAGATTGCAGTATCTACTTTCCAAGCTGAGTATACTAAACTTGTATACGCCAGCTTGAGGGAGGGTATTGAAGATGCTGAATGGAGGAACTATACCACATCGACTAATCAGTACTAAGGAGCCTCCTGGACGACGTCGCATTCTCCCCGGAAGCAACCAAAGAGCTGGGACAGAACGGTGTCGTCTGTGTTAGTGTTGATAGTGTTCCATTTTTACTGTTTAGATTACACTAGTCGTTGTTTGGTTTGTGGATGGTTTGTATTTCCGTTTTTTACCGTTTTACAGTTTTAGTGAGGTAACTTTTCCTTCCCTTCGTTCAGAAGCTGTTGGGTGTTCATATATAAACAAGGCCATGAGCCTCAATGATTCCTGCGGGTTTCATTCTAAATACACACATACTAAGTAATCTCATAGTATGGGCATCCTCCCATTTTTTCCAATAAATTCTCTTCTTCCAACATCAAAATTGGGTCAAGCCAATTACCTGGCCCATCAACAACACTTAATCTGCCCATGACCTTTACCAATGTGAGTGGGATGGTTTTGGAATATAAATTAATGGAAACACCACTACCTCTAGCTTGCCAAAACATAGCAGAGAGCAAGGGTCTTCTTGGGAAATCCCCCGTTAATACTGATTCAACGTCAACTCGCGGTTTCTTTTCACACGGGGTCCATTGAGACTTCTTTATCTCATAAAAGTTCAGAGTCATCAAGTACCATTCTCAACTCCTCTTCCTCGATTCACATTGTCAAAGTACCACCCCTTGAAGCTCTCCAAACTTCAACCTCGACGAAAGCTGGCGTATCGCGAAGCAAGAGAACAAATAAAACTAGCTGCACCAAAATAGAGGATCCAACTGAACAAAAACAAGAAACCCCTATAATGGCATTGACGATGATGACAAAGCACCCAAAAAGTTTGGAGCAATCAATCCCGAAAACATTACATTATGACACCTCATTTGTTGTGGTCACCTAAATGCTTGTTTCTATTTGTTTTTTAATCTGAATGTGTACATTATGTAGCTTAGTCCATTAGTGGGCAGATCTTTCTTTCTCCTACGTCCCTTTGTTTCTCTCTCTCATGCACATCTCTTCTTGGCTTCGTGTCTCCCTTGAACAAAAAGAGTGATGCTTGAGAATATTAAATATACCGGAAAAATTAATTATATGTGTGTGGGGGTACCCATGGTGGCGGGTATACCTAAACCCAACCCAACCCATGAATAGTATAGCGGGTTTAAACCTAAACCCGACCCAAAACCTGTCAACATGGGTTTTATCCGCGTAGACCAGGTTGGGTCGGGTAGGGTACCTGTGGTTTCGGGTTTTGTTGTCATCCCTAGCCATGAGGAGGGGTTCGTGGGTGTTCATCGATGGGAATAAAGATACCAGGAGAACCACAGGAATCGGCGCCTGGAACAGAGAAAGCAAGTAATGGGGCACCGTTTTGGGAAGCGATTCTCACTCATAGGATAGTCTCGTTCTAAGGAGGGTTACTCTGTGGACATTGTAATGACCCTTCCTTAACCTCTCGTCTCCTCCTCTCAAACTCTACCTTTAGGGCTCTATTTGTAGATCTTCGATTAGGCTTTCTAGGGAGGAAAACTCGCAGCTCCTGTGTCATTCAGCTAATCAGAGCACTCTAAACATGTGGCTAGAGAATCAGGATGCTCCTAGATAACTTCTCGATGAAGTTGACGAGCTCCATAAAACGGTGTCGTGGCCACCCTTTTCCTTCATCAAAACGGTGCTCCAGGTGCCGCTTCACCCATGCGTCCGGTCTTTGAATCCTCGCTCCAACAATTTGGTCTCGATGTCGCCTACTGGTTCCAAGTGGTTCACCAGACTACTTTGCTCTGAAAATGCACAGAATGCTACTAAAAGTGTATCAATCGTATAAAAGCAATCCTAGGGTTGCTATAACACATCTGAAGCAATCATAACATAAATTCAAGATATTATGACACTAATGATGGGAAATGTATGCACTTTGGGTCACAATACGTGGATCTATAATAGATACTTTCTTGTGTCATCACATAATAAGAACTCCTTAATTGGAGTATTTTGGGCAAAAATCCACATAATTCAAAAAATCAAAGAGGTAGTCATAGTTAAACTATAAGACATTATTGGTCTTATATAGATCCACTAATGATTCACGTTGATAAATCACAAAATAAACCAAATATACGATAAATTTACTAAACAATAAATCACAAGATGAAAACAAGCAGGTACCCTAAGAACCTCTTCATCCATTTGGCGGAAGCCATGCCGAGGTTGATTGGATGTTTAGAGGGAGCGGGTAGTATCACACACTCAAGAGAGTCAAGAGAACTTCTTTTTTGTGGAAGGTCAGGCTTAGCGCAATCACAGAGCATACTAAGAATTCCTCGAATGGTGGAAGAGAGGAAGAAATTTTTTTGTGGTGTTGTGAATGAAGGAGGGTGAGAGTTGTATTTATAGAGTTTGGGGAATTGCTAAAGCCAAAGGCGGCCATCGCATATCTCTTCAGTCGAGAGTGATCAAGGATTCATCGCTTTACACCTTAGTGATCCGAGCATTTCTCCGAGTTCCACCTTAGCAGTCCACGTTAAGAACCCGATCCAATCGCTTCTCCTTAAAGTTATGCACTCAAATCGCTTTTCTAGAAACTAATATAGCATTTGATCGGTTGCCATTTCAAAGATTCGCGTTGATTGCTTCCGACTGCAGCAATCAAGACATCACAACGTCTGTCTCCAGTGATCAATGACTAAATCTCTTTAGAGTTAGGCAATCAATCCCAAACATGCATAGATTAAGAAAATTCTTATCCAACTATGATCTTTTGATTTTTTTTAACAACTAGGAAAATATCCCATAATGAGAAGAAAAATAACAGAACAAAGAGCTGGAAGGGCACCACACAAGCCTTTTCTATTGTACAGTGTTAGTGGCTGGCGCTGCCTCTTCAATCTTCACCGGCGAAGTGGAGTCCGACCGGAGAAGATGGGTCTACAGGTCTACTGCTAGCACCTTTTTCTTAAACAAACTTTATGAAGTACGAAATAATTGAAAAAAATCTGGGCGGCTGGCTTCCAATTCCCAAATATTGCCCTGCTCTCACACTGCAACTCAAAGTGCCCAACCTACCACTCTTGCAGCGGCCACTTATCTCCCACTCAACGAGTGCTTTATTTCACAAAAAATAAATTCTTTCTTCCACAATTCCATGTCCGTCCCGTGATTCCAACTTTTTGCCTCCATCTTCCCCCCTCTTCATCTTCTCCAGTAAACGACACAATCCCTCCTATCTCGTGAAGACTTCTCAGCGATTCCTCATCTTTTTAAATCCGTTTGTAAAATGGAGCCACTCCGACTCCTATGGCTAGACCCACTTCAATGGCAGAAACCAACTCGCCTTTCTCTGCGCTCAGTGTTGTACTCCTTTCCCTTCTCCTCCCCTTTCTGGGTTCTGCTCTTACTGCTGGTGGCTCGATTCTGTCTCCATTTCCTCGGGAATATCAAGTACAAAACCCCCGCATTTCCCCATTGGAGAGAGCTTTACCACTCTTTGTAGTCTTACTTGTAGACTGTAGTTGTTGATTTAATATGCTTAAATTGGATTCAGCATTACGATATGAATGAATGAACATAGTTGGTGGCAATGTTTGTTGTCTACTTATCTAGTATTCTAGTTCAACACCTGTGACACTGATTTGTGCTTCTCTTTTGTAAAGAGCAAATATGGAGGGGTTGCTGCTGCTGTGGGGGCTAACAACATAATACTGAATCCAAGGTTTGAGGATGGACTCAAGAATTGGTCTGCAAAAGGTTGCAGGGTCGAGTTACATGAATCAATGGCTGACGGGAAAATTGTGCCTCAACTGGGGAAACTCTTTGTTTCAGCAACAGATCGTACTGAAACATGGAATGGCATTGAGCAAGAGCTCACTGGACGTGTACAGCGAGAGGTTGCTTATGAGGTTACTGCTATAGCTCGGATATATGGCAACGTTACTGCTGCTACTTTGCAGCTCACTTTGTGGGTTCAAGAGCAAGACCGTCGTGAAGAGTATATATCTATTGCCAGGTCAGTTTTCTCTTTGTTTTCAAGTTTGGAAACAAAGTTAACGTTTACCATTATATAATGAGGATATGGTGGCTTTGTGCTGCAGCTTGCAGGTAACAGACAAAGATTGGGTGCAATTGCAAGGGGAGTTCCTTCTTAATGGCTTCCCGTCAAGAGTGATTATATACTTCGAAGGTCCACCGGCAGGCACTGATATTCTTATCAATAGTTTGATTGTTCAGCATGCTGCCAAAATGCCTTCGTCAGCCCGCCCAGTTTTCCAGGTCAGTGAATCTTTTTGGCCCCCTCCATTAGTATCATTTGACAAGACATGGATTCTGAAATCCAGGTTTTAAACTCTTTATAGGATCCCCCATTTGATGTGAATGTGATTGAGAACAGCAATCTCGATGATGGCACAACTGCTGGCTGGTTTGCACTAGGCAATTGCTTACTGACTGTGGAAAGAGGTTCCCCGTATGTTCTCCCTCCAATGGCAAGAGATTCACTTGGTCCTCACGAGTCATTGAGCAGTCAGTACATGCGAGTAACCAACCGAACCGAGTCTTGGATGGGTCCTGCACAGATAGTGACCGACAAACTGAGAGTGTACTTGACGTATCAAGTATCAGCATGGGTTCGAATCAGTCATGGAGGCACAACTGGTCCTCAGTTTGTGAATGCTGCACTGGGAGTTGATGGGCAGTGGATCAATGGCGGTGAAGTTGAAGTGAACGATGGAAACTGGCATGAAATTGGAGGGTCTTTCAGGCTTGAGAAGCAGCCGTCTAATGCTATGGTTTATGTCCAAGGACCTGCATCAGGTGTTGACTTAATGGTTGCTGGGCTTCAGATTTTCGCTGTCAACAGGAAGGCAAGGTTTAGTTATTTGAGGAAGCAAGCTGATAAGGTAACTTAGTAGAAATGGCGTATTGATTTTGCTTCATTATACTCCGACATGGCTAACAGTTTTTGCTTTGTGTGAGGTAGTAAAGGTCAATTCATCCTTAAAATTCACGATCCATTTATTACAGTACACTTTTCTAAATCTGGCACCCAAACAACAAAATTTTGAAAATGTTAAGTGTCACTGTCCAAACATTTTAAATCCATGGTCTTGGTACAATTCATCACTTTTCAAATCCAACATCCAAATGATCCCGTGATTGTTCTTTCCCCTTGCAGATACGCAAACGGGATGTCGTTTTGAAATTCTCAGGATCTGGTCTCAGCAACAGTTCTGTTAGCGTGAAGCAGACGCAAAATAGTTTTCCTCTGGGTTCTTGTATCACTAGAACAAGCCTGGACAATGAAAATTTTGTCAAGTTCTTGACAGACAATTTCAACTGGGCTGTGTTCGAAAACGAGATGAAGTGGTCATGGACAGAACCTCAACAAGGTACCTTCAATTACAAGGAAGCGGACGAGATGTTAGACTTCTGCAAAACCCACAACCTGAAAGTCCGAGGTCACTGCATCTTCTGGGAAATGGAGTATGCAATCCAGTCATGGGTTCGATCGCTCAATGAAAGTAGCTTAACCAATGCTGTTGAGAACCGACTTTATAACCTTCTCACACGGTACAAGGGGAAGTTCGATCACTATGATGTAAACAACGAGATGCTCCACGGATCTTTTTACCAGGGGAGATTGGGTTATGATATTAGAGCCCACATGTTCAGAACTGCCCACCAGCTCGACCCATTGGCAGCCCTTTTTGTTAATGACTATCACATTGAGGATGGAAGTGACGTTGGTTCAACGCCAGAGAAGTACATCAAACAAGTCCTCGACCTTCGAGAGCAAGGCGCACAAATTGGAGGGATTGGTGTTCAGGGGCACATCGAAGTTCCAGTTGGGTCTATTGTTTCTTCTGCCTTTGATAAACTTGGCACTCTTGGACTGCCCGTATGGATAACTGAACTTGATGTGTCTTCCGCCAATGAGTTTATCAGAGCCGAAGATTTGGAAGTAATGCTTCGGGAAGCTTTTGCTCATCCTGCTGTGGAAGGTGTGGTTCTCTGGGGATTTTGGGAGCTGTACATGTCAAGGAAGAATGCACATTTGGTGAATGCAAATGGCAAGATCAACCAAGCTGGGAAAAGGTTTCTGTCTCTTAAAAAAGAATGGCTGTCTCAAGCCAATGGGGGGATTAACGAGCAGGGAGAGTTCAAATTCAGAGGCTTTCATGGGACTTATGTCGTTGAAATTGTGTCTTCGTCGTCACAGAGAATCAGCAAAACATTCATTATCGATAAAGGGAATTCCCCACTGGTAGTGCCCGTCGATCTAATGTGATTAAAGTTTGAAACTTTGTTGTTTCTGTTTCAAGGAAAATTTTCAGAGAAGACTTAAAAACTTCTGTCTACTGTTATGTTTCCTGTGTGTGGGGGGGGGGGGGGGGGGGGGGGGGGGGGGGGGGGGGGGGGGAACTGGGAAGGGTGGGATATTGAACGCCCATCTTCCGCCACCTAACTTCAGTTTATAAAATTCAACTAAATTTAAACATCTCAGTCTTGGAACCAAAGCCTTCTGAGAATTGGGATATTTGAGTGGAGAAGAAAGAAGAATGGAGGATACCCTAATACCCTATGGGCTTATAGCCTATAAGCCTTCTATTCCAATTCAAGCATCTCCAATCCTGCAAGACAAAGGCAATTGCAGTACACGAGAAGTTTGCCGTTCCGGATGAAGACAGCAATGTAAAAGAACTGTGGATAAATGGGTTCATTTCTTTCTTTCTGTTTGGGTCGGAATTGGAAGGGAAGCAAGCTAGTTGATTTGCATTAACTAATTTCAGTTTCCTTCTTTCGTTTTTGGATGAACACTTTGCTGCGTCAAGCTAACGGCTTTTCCCCCATTTTTCTATTTCCTTTTTCTCTCTTTTCTGTTTGAAGGGATGTGATTGGCTGCTGGGTCACTAGACGCGGGTAGTTGGAGCCGAGGTTTTCGTAGAGTTTACTTGAACGAACGCAACTGCAAGCAAAGACAATTCAACTTGTTTCACGGAAACTGGAAAAGTCCGCCAAATAAGGGACTGCCTGTTTTCGAAAGCGGCGGGAAGGGTATAAAAATGAGGAGGATCTCAGTCTGCTGCTTCACCGGTCAAGCGGCTAATACTAATCGCCGGAAGAAGAAGCAAATTCAGGTGGCCATTTCCCGAATCTCTCTCTCTCTCTCTCTCTCCCTCTTCACATTTCTTGAGCAGATTCAGCTGTTCAAACAAATGTATACATCTGCCGCCGAAAGCTCATGTTTTTAGTTGCTTTTTTCTTGGGTTAGGAATCTAAACCATCAACGGAAAACAGAATGGAGCAACCCCAGATGACGAACAATGGCAATGGCGCTGGTAATTCGGAGGTAATCAAATAATAATGAATTAATGTGTGTTGACCCAAAACCCTCGAGGACGAACAGGAAGATTTTTTTTTTTAATTCATTAAAGGTGTATTTTTCATATTAAGATGCATTTTATTCTTGACTCGGTATGGGGGTTGGCGAAATGGGATTCTTGTGAATTAAGCTATCAGGTGATTGGGAACTTCCACAGCTTGTACTGATCTGTGGCAAAAGACTGTTCCTTTTCATTTTTCAAGCTAACTGCTGTTTTAACAAACTTCACCGCATTCCTCAATTTTTCACTGACCAGTATTTAGTTCATTTGGCTTCCTTACTTACCCAAATTCATCAGTGTCTTGTTACTTACACCCAAGAATCATTTGAAAGCTCGAGGAGTCGATTTGAAAGTTCTTAATCCTTATTAAAGTAGTTGCTGCTGGAATGCCTTTGAATGAACTCTCCTGGTGCTATGATCATTAATCATTATGAGATGCATGACTACTTTGGTGCCAGGATGAAGTATCTTCTTCTGGTTAACTATTATCTGAACAACACTATATCTTCCACACAATAAAAATGGTCTAGTTTGTGCTAGATAAGATATTACTTAAAAGACTTTTTTTTTTTTATTTGCTCCTACCTGTTCTTGACAGACTGTGGGTGATAGTATGGGTAATTCAAACAGCAGCAACAGCAAAACAAACATCATCGTAAACCATGACTTCTCTCAAGGGCTTCAATCCTGGCACCCAAATTCTTGTGAAGGATTTGTGGTTTCATCCGACTCGGACAACCCAGGGCTTCTTGCAAGACTAGTTGGCGGTTATGCAGTTGTTTCAAACCGGAAAGAAAGCTGGCAGGGTCTTGAGCAGGATATCACTGCTAGGGTTTCTCCCTGTGTAACTTACTCAGTATCTGCTATTGTTGGTGTATCGGGTCACATTCAGGGATCAGCAGAGGTTATTGCAACTATGAAGCTCGAACAACAAGGCTCAGGAACCCAATACTTGCGTGTTGGAAAGTAATGATCTGTTAACCTCTCCTCTTTTGCATTCTATGTCGTCCATCAGTATCATACTTAATGCAGTGATCACTTGCAGATCTACCGTATCGAAGGGTCAGCTTGAAAAGTTGGAAGGCGACTTCTGTTTGTCAACTATGCCTGACCGGGTGGTCTTCTATATCGAAGGACCTTCTGCAGGAGCTGACATACTTATAGCATCAGTGATCATTTGCTGTTCTAAGCAAGGAAATGACAATGATGTAAGCAGCAGCAGCTCAACTAATGTGATACTAAACCATGACTTTTCTCAAGGGCTGCAGTCATGGCACACAAATCAATGTGATGGCCATGTGGTTTCCTTAGACTTGGGTCACCCAAGACATCTAGCCAATGAAGTCGGTTCTTATGCAGTTGTATCAAATAGAACAGAAAGATGGCAGGGCCTTGAACAAGATATCACGAGCAAGGTTTCCCCTGGCATAACATACTCAGTTTCCGCCCTTGTTGGAATCTCTGGGCCTACTGAAGGGTCATCTGAGGAGGCCCTAGCAACTTTGAAACTCGAACACACCGGTTCAGGAGCAAACTATATGCTTGTTGGAAAGTATGATCTTCTGGATTCAAATTTCTTTATCTACGTTATCTTTTAGTGAAGTATGAATCATTCTCTAATCTGGGTAGAATTGCAGAACTTCTACGTCCAAGGGGAAATGGAACAAGTTGGAAGGAACATTCTCACTTTCGACTATCCCTGACCGTGTATTCTTGTACTTAGAAGGACCTTCTCCCGGAGTGAACCTCCTGATAAAATCGGTCGTCATCTGCAATCCTGATTGCAGCAAGCCCAAGGTAACTACTCCCGACCAGTGTAGTCAAACTATACATTTTATGTCAGATTGAAAAGCATGGTAGAACTGGAAGTGTACAAGTGAATTGAAGAATCGTAAGATTCCATGTGTCATGCAAAATGATTACGTTTTTCAACGTTTTGTCTTTTTTCAGAGATTCAAATCAATTTATTACAGAGCAAAAGATGTGAAATATTTGGTGTCTGAAAGCAATTCAGAATCCTATTTCTATAAGTTGCAACAACGGCATTGATGTTTCATATAACCTATTTCAAATGTCTAATTCGTGTCTTTTTTTTCTTAACTATCTCTAAACATTCAGAATCTTGTGATTTCAACTCAATCAGTATTCAGTACTCATCCTTTACCCACACCTAAGGTAGTCATTCTATACATTTTGCAAGAAATTAAAAACCAATTTTAAATAAGAATAGTAAACTTATATCGTACAATCGTAAGATTTTGTGAACCGCATATGAACTTGTGAAATATGATTCTCAGTAATAGGATCAGATGATCTTATCCATATTTAATATCTGGTGTAAATCCTATCCTTAATCTACTAAAGTCATTGATTCTGCTAATAAAATCATAAAATTATATGACAAATGATCACACTATCTTTACTTGAGTAAACTCCTAAAAGTGGTAAGTTATTAGGAGTTTATACTTGGGATTTCTCTGCACTGCTCTTAAAAGTGTAACTCTAGCCTTTCTATTTTGTTTGCCGTTTCTTGCTGCAATGTTTCAGTACATAATCATAAAAGTATGCATCTTAAATTGGGCAGGACTCATTTTGTGGGAGCGCTGCAAAGGACGATGAGAACCTCATTGTGAATCCTAACTTTGAGGATGGTTCCAATAACTGGTCTGGAAGAGGGTGCAAGATCGCTGTACAGAATTCTGCAGCAGATGGGAAGATTGTGCCTCAGAGCGGTAAAGTGTTTGCAGTAGCAACAGGACGAACGCAGAACTGGCATGGAATTCAGCAGGAGATAACTGGGAGAGTTCAAAGGAAGCTTGCTTATGAGGTGACTGCTGTAGTTCGGATTTATGGTAACAACGTCACAAGTGCTGATGTCCGAGCTACATTGTGGGTCAAAAATCCTGATAATAGGGAACAATATATTGGGATTGCCAAGTTAGTCTCTTTTCCCTTCTCCCAACTTAAGTTTCCTCTTCTTCTGACTGATTTTCTCTATCATGCTCCAGAATCATGATGAAAATGTTACACCTTTGGTATATGATATTACCATATCTCTTCTGTTTCTGATAAAAAGTTGAGAATGAAATATTAACACTTGAGCATACTAGCATGTAAATGACCATTCTTATATCAAAAGGATGACTAACGATATTTTGAACTATGGAGTATAGATGCTTACTATGATGTATTTTGCTTACATTCAACATGATTTATATAGCGTTATAGGTAGAAGATGTTTTCTTTTAGATTCCCAAAATCTTATTGCGTTTAGGCAAACTTTACTCTTAAGAGACTGATATGATTCAATTTCGATTTTACATAGGTTTTTTATTCCGTGTAACTACATTGGTTGTGGATAGAGGCCTTAAACTTTGAATGTTTACAAATTACAACACTCTGACGCGCCTGATTCCATCCTACTTTTCTATTCTATCTACGCAGAATCTATACTTTGAGTGCCTTGGCATTGATAAATTATTTTGCTGTACAGTTTGCAGGCAAAAGACTCGAAATGGGTGCAGCTGCAGGGCAAGTTCCTTCTGAATGGCTCTCCTAACAAGATAGTTGTTTATCTAGAAGGTCCACCTCCAGGGACTGATCTTCTCGTAAACAGCTTCACACTTAAACATGCCACGAAAGTCCCTCCATCGCCACTTCCCATAATCGAGGTTGGGCTCCTGCATTTAAAAAACTTGTAAAATTACAGCCTTTCGATGGTCCTTTAATCTCTGACCGCGATCTTGATTCTCTTTCAGAACCCTGCATTTGGTGTCAACATACTTCAGAACAGCAATCTGAGCGATGCAACCAATGGGTGGTTCCCACTGGGCAATTGCTCTCTCAATGTTGCAACTGGTTCACCACATGTGCTTCCTCCTATGGCGAGAGAATCTCTAGGAGTCCATGAACCTCTGAGCGGACGCTGCATAGCCGTCACCAAGAGAACACAGACGTGGATGGGACCTGCACAGATGATCACTGATAAAGTCAAACTGTTCTTGACGTATCAGATATCCGCTTGGGTGAAGATTGTCCCTGGAGCGGCTAGTGGTCCTCAGAATGTGAATGTAGCACTTGGTGTGGATAATAATTGGGTCAATGGTGGCCAAGTCGAGATCAACGACGATAGGTGGCACGAAATCGGTGGCTCCTTCAGGATCGAGAAGCAACCTTCCAAGGTCATGGTCTACATCCAAGGTCCTGCTGGTGGTGTCGATTTCATGGTCGCTGGACTTCAGATTTTTGCTGTTGATCGTGTGGCCAGATTCAAGCACCTCAGAAGACATGCTGACAAGGTAAGCTCCCGCCTCCCAGTCAAGTAATGTCTCTCATTTCCGAGTCCTTTTCACAAGGCAAAATCATTTTTCCTGCTGCAGATTCGGAAGCGTGACGTGATCCTGAAATTCACAGGAGGAGACTCAAGCAGCCTGCACGGCACATTCGTCAAAGTCCGACAAACACAGAACAGCTTCCCCTTGGGAACCTGCATAAGCCGGACCAACATCGACAACGAAGATTTCGTCGACTTCTTCGTCAAGAACTTCAACTGGGCCGTGTTCGGCAACGAGCTGAAGTGGTACTGGACGGAGTCCCAACAGGGGAACCTCAACTACAAGGATGCTGACGACCTGGTGGAACTCTGCCGAGCCCACAACATAGACATGCGAGGCCACTGCATCTTCTGGGACGTCGACGGCACGGTCCAGCCGTGGATCAAGTCCCTAAACAAAGACGACCTCATGAAAGCAGTCCAAAACCGCATCACCGATCTCCTCACCCGATACAAGGGTAAGTTCAAGCACTACGACGTGAACAACGAAATGCTGCACGGTTCGTTCTATCAGGACCGGCTGGGGAAAGACATCCGGCCCTACATGTTCAAGACCGCGAATCAGCTCGACCCATTTGCAGCCCTGTTCGTCAACGACTACCACGTGGAGGACGGGTGCGACACCAGGTCGACTCCTGAGAGGTACATTGAGCAAGTTCTTGACTTGCAGGAGCGAGGTGCAGCAGTGGGAGGGATTGGGATTCAGGGCCATATTGACAGTCCGGTTGGGCCTGTGGTCTGTTCGGCGCTGGATGGGCTGGGAATATTGGGCCTGCCGATCTGGTTCACGGAGCTGGACGTGTCGTCGACCAACGAGTACATACGGGCCGAGGATCTGGAGGTGATGCTGAGAGAGGCGTTTGCGCATCCGTCGGTGGAAGGCGTGATGCTTTGGGGGTTCTGGGAGCTGTTCATGAGCAGGGAGAATTCGCATCTGGTGGAAGCGGAAGGGGAGGTGAATGAAGCTGGGAGGAGGTTGCTGGCTTTGAAGAAAGAGTGGCTGTCTCATGCTAGTGGGGAGATTGACGAGAGTGGTGAGTTTGGGTTCAGAGGGTTTCATGGGAGCTACCGTGTGGAGATTGTTGGGCTGTCGAAGAAGGTGACCAAAACGTTTGTGGTTGAGAAGGGTGATGGTGATACTCCGTTGGTTCTGAACATTGATCTGTCTAGTTCTTGAAGGTGGTTGGTTTGGTGAAATTCTTTACCTAGATAAGCAAAGAAAATAAGGGGGGATTACGGGGCTAAATGGAATGTTTGTCATTATTGTTTACTTTGTGCATATTTGTACAAAAGGAAAAGGCCCCTAAGATAAAAATACGTGTATGAATGACTAAAGAAAGAAGTGGGTTTGGTTTATGTTTCCTTGCTAATTGATCGAAATGTTTTAATATAGATTTGGCTTTGTAATAAAATGATTAAAATGTTTAAAAAGCAATAAAAGTATAAATATGTATTATGATATAATAAAATAATTATTTTGCTTTTTTCATCAAAAATATTTGCGGACTCACTACAAAAATTAAGAAAAAATATCAGATGCCTTACCGACGCTTAAACATACCTTTCATCCAGAGCAAACTAATTAAGTATTTAAAGTGAAAATATGTTATATTGTGATCACTTTGTTACCGACACCCATTGCACTTTCCTTTTTTCAGTTATCCATGTTTCATTTGTGGGTTAACGGCTAATTTAGTCCTCACATAAGCTGCCCTAGTATAATTTTTAGCAAAGAAATCCTTCTAAAGTTGGGTATCTAACTGAATCGATTGGGTTGGGAGAAATCAACAAATATTACTTTTGCTTGGATTTTTCCAAAAAATTCGACATAGGATAATGAGTTTTGATCGATGCAGTATTAGTATGTTAGGTATTGGAATTGAGCCTATTCGAACATGTATTATAACTCACTTGGTTTAACACTTCAATCATCATATTCCTCAAGTATCAATCTGGCTGTTGTGCTCAAAGCACAATCAGTGCATACATGCTCACAGAGGTTGTGAGCCAAGAGATAAGTGTTTGGTGCCTCCTGGTTGTTGGATCATGGATGGATGTGGTGTCAATTTCGTAAATAAATGTCACTGAGCTAGTCAAGAGGTCACAAATGCTCAGGACCTGATCCGACAACGTCCAACCTCTGTGGGCACCGTAGTCGGGCTTCTAAAAAATTATTATTGTTATCTCTTAGACACAAATCTTGCTCTAGACATTTCAAGAAATTTTTCTCATTGTATCAACAACTTTACATATGATTGTGGTGATGGAGCATAAGGATTTTCCCCTCGAGGTATAATGGTATATGATATCATTGTCTACTTTTTGTTTACGATTTTTTAAAAAAAACCCCGTAATTTGGAATGCTACATAGGAAAATCAACCCGCCCAAAGTCATTGCCAAACCTAGTTATGCGCTTTCTTTCATCAATTAATGTTGGCCAATATATTATACATCTTTGTTGACATATATGGTACGTATGATTAGTACGAACCCTAACCTTAATCACATATGGATGAGGAAGACCAGGAAACAGTCTTATCTTTCTTGGTTTGGAAGACCCAGACTTCCCACATGGCTGAAATGCTCGTGTATGGTTCCTTCCCTCGAGTCTTTCACTTCCCTTCCCTTGTTGTTGGCCAACCAAAATTCTTTCATCAAATCACTCATCGATTTATCAGTGGCAAGAAATTAGGGCCGTGAAACTGAAAAACCCAGAAACCAGACAAAAACTCGGATCAATTTACAGAATTCCACTTCCACTTTTTGCGAGAAGTAGAGAGGGATGAATGGATGGATGGGAAATGGGGCGCGCGTAGGGTAGAATAGAGGTGAAGGTGGAGGGGCGTCGGCATCAGACGAGGGAACGTTTGATGTGATCGGCAGCGGGACCTTTGTCTTTCTTTCTGCTCCCCGCAGGCCCCAACTCTCTCTCTCTCTCTCTCCCTGCGTTTTCTTTATTATACGATTCAATAAATAGGCTTCGAACTGTACGTAGATTTTTAGGAGCGTTCTACATATTCAATTTTCAGGGAAAACTGTAAAAGCGTACGCCAGCCTTCTCAAAATAACATTCATGATATATTGCCCAGCATATGCAATTATGCATACACTAAAAAACAGTGTTTAATTTGTGGTTGTGTACGTTGGTTTATACAAGTCCATATGATCATATTATGATGCTATAATGTGTACTTTTCTTATAAGAGATAGGATTCCTTAAACATCAAAGGATGGAATATCTAAACTACAGCCTAGTCGAGATTTGAATCCAAATCATTTGAGTTCCACCTGCTTTACGGGTTGACCACTTTGCATGATCATCGACACTAACCATTACTTTAATTAAGACTTGAACACATGTAATTAGCCTCCACCCATGAAAAATTTGCAGTGTAGGGTTTCGTAATCTTTACTCAACTGGGGCTCTAAATAGGCCAAGCTCTTCATCAACGGACTAGGTGTTTGATTCGGGAAAAGCTAGTTCGAAAGTTGGCTTGTTAGTGTTTGAACTAACTCTTGTTTAGCTTGCGAGGATAGCAAATTAATCAGATCGACTCGGTGATTCATTGATCTCGACTCGTGAGTTTCTTGTTTCGAACTCATGAATTGACTCGACATGTGGCAACAAGCCAACTCAACTATATAGAATCTTGTTATGGAATTTATCTATAGCTTACGGATTAGGTTGATGATAATTCATAAGTTTGTTAGACAATATATTATGGTTTAATACTTTGAGTACATGTCTAAATATGTCTCATTTATAATTTGGAAGACAAATTATTTACTATAGATGGCTTAAGTATAAATTAATATCAAATAATTCATATGATATGGACTAGTTAAAGTTTATGAACTAAATATTATACCAATAGATTATGTAAACATGAAAACGATTAGTTGTGAAAATTTGACTTTTTTATATCATGACATTAATTAATTACATGTACCACATATGACATACATTCAATGTAATATATGAAATTTATAGATTTTAATTTAGAGATTCAACCATTTAGAGTCATGAATGAACCGAGCTCGAGTCAAACTCTATGACTTGATTGATGAGTCAAACTCAAACGAAACTTGTGAGCTCGTCAATGATTCGGAGCTCCAGTTGAGTTAGAGGAGAAGTTGAGCTAAGGTCTTTGTAAACTAGCCCAACTCGAGTTTAATTCATTCTTTAACTAATCAATAGGGATGTTCAAACGGTTAACATGGTAATTACCAAACCAATTAATCCAATATTAGGTGCCCATATGTTGTTGTCTACACTCCACAAGAACAAATATAGTATGGGAACTATTATGAGCTTTATTTTTTGGATGAGTCCAAACGAGAGGAACACTTAACTCTATCTTGAGTTGTTACGCATATGAGTATATAAATATAATATATCAGATATACGACTAGCTAATTAGTTTGATTGGTTAACAGTTTCTTTAACCAAACAAAATTACATATTCAAATTAACCAAACCAAATTTATTAAAATGGTGAGCACGATAACCACTGCATTGAAACACCCCTACAACCCTACTAATAAAGATTGAACTTGTGAAAAGTCTACTAATTTCTACTGGTTTGCGGCCCTAGCTTCATTTAAGAGGTAAGAACGCTCTTAGGGTTGTTCAAATGGTTACCATGGTTATTACCAAACCAAATAAGGCTAAGTTTCATTAGCCATGGAATACAATATCATAACCAAACCGTCCAAAATAACACAACAACCAAATTAACCAAACTAAAGTTTAATCGGTTTGGTTAATTGGTTAACCAGATTAACCATTATAAAATTACATTATTATTAAGTGGAAAATATTCGGTTAATTTATCAATTCATAATTTATATAATGAATAAAATATAACAATCAACACTTGGTTATAGTTGACCTTTAACATAAATACATGCTACAAAGACAATTATCTTACGGTTAGTATAAAAGTATTCACCTAGCAAAAATTCATCACAATGGTACGGGTTAATGAATTGTTGTGTTTGTTTGAATTGACTTAGTCTTTTAGCAATTTTCATAGGCTGAAAAGGACCTTGCTTTCAAGTTTTCATCCAACATAATGTATGAGATTTATCTAAATTAGGCGTTCATATGTCGTGGTCTACACTCTACAAATACAAATATACATTATAGAAACAATATCAAGCTTTATATTTTATGAGTCTAAAAGGATGAACGTTTAACTCTTGAGAGGTTATTCAAAGTATTAAGTATGTGTATATATTAGATATATGGCTAATTGTTTATCTGGTTAATTTGGTTTGACTGGTTAGGAGTGTCTGAAACCAAACCAAACCAAACAAGCTAAAACTTTAACAAAACCAATTATCCAAATTAACCAAACCACACCATTTTAACTAGGGGTGGAAATTGGGGTGGGTGTGGTTACCCGCCCCACATTTTGCGGGTACCCACACCCATAAATTAACAATTATGCTATCCACAACCCGCACCGCAGTGGTTAGTGGGTAACCACTACCCACTGTGGGTTTGTGTGGGTTGGGTGTGGTTACCCGCAAAAATCCATGTTTGCAAGCATATAGTTCTAGTCGCCACCAACGTATTTGTTGTTCGTAACTAGATTATAGTGATATGCACTTGTGTTGTTCGTGGATATATAATTTTGTACATCGATCTTACTGAACGTGGATATTTTTTCTTTTTGAGTTTGGTATTCAAGTTTTGTGCCAAAGAGCTGTGATTTCATATTTCCCCGACTAGGGGTGAAATATGACAATTAAATATGATCTTGTATTTTTTCACACAAAAGCAAAAACATATTGATAAAAGTTATAAAAGGTGTTCACTTTTAATGAATTGATTATTCTCCACTATATCGATTATAGTTTTTTATAAACTAAAAAATTATTACATAAAACTAATTAGGTGTGTCTTTTTTATTTGATGGCTACTTAAATTTTTATCCTCACACTTTTCACATACTATTATATTATAAAAGTTAATTCACTAAATAAATATAATTAGTGTGGTTATTGTGGATTTTGTGGGTTATCCGCGGTGGGTAGTGGATAACCACTAACCACAAAAATCGTTATTTTACAACCCACTACCCACAACTTGTGGATATGATTACCCACAATAGGTGCGGATTGATGCGGTTTGCGAATTATCCACAACCCGCAACCCAAACTTCCACCCC